CCTCAACCAAACTCTCACACGATGCCCCAACACATGCGTCGCGAATCCTCCCAGTCTGCGCACAGCGACATGAGCAACGCAAACATGGGCCGCGGCGGCTCGTACTCCAACCGAGGAGGCCGTGGTGGATTCCCTCCTCAAGGTCAATACAACCCGCACATGGCCAACCATTCGCCACAGCCGTTCCGCCCGATGCCTCAGATGGGCCGCGGCCAGGCTGCGCCATTCCACCCTCCTGGCCCGCAGCGCTCTCCTTACACACAGAACCGTAGCCCCGCTATGACACCTGCTACTATGCATCAGCAGCAGCACCTCGCTAATCCTCAGAGCATGCCCTACTACCCGCAACAGCAGTACCCTCAACAGGCAAGTACATCCTCCACTATTTCAGCAACTCCCTCAGTTTCTTCATCTCGCAGATCGGTTTTCTCGACTGGATCGCGAGTTTCTCACAATTCTCCCATGTCCAGCCATGTTTCTGTCGGGACCGAGAGGCCTTTCAACCAAGGTCGATCGGACTCGGCAAATGTCCCCACACAAATTGTTCCGCCACCAAATGTTTCAGTCTTTTCAAGTACAAATATCGAATCATTCCTAACACAAATTTCCCCACAGGCTATCTACGGAGGCATGCCCCAGCCCAACTTAGACCCGTACAACAACTTCTACCCGCAGAGCTACGGACTTCAGCAGTCTATCCACTACCCAGGTGTTCCCGCCAGCCCAGGTCGTGGATTCCCCCCTCAAATGCAACCGTCTCCCTACGGTGTCGCCCCCTACGGTCATCAGCCACAGGCTCAGAGCATGTCGCGCACTCCCTCCAACATGTCGGAGCGCCCGTCATCTGCTGTTCCTCAGCCTTCCACACCTGCGATGACCAACGTCAATCACATCTCGCACACGCACACTCCTAGCATGACGGCGGCAAGCCCCGCACCTAGCTCCACCTTTGAGCGTCCGAAGAGGCAAAGCAAGGCCATCCAGATCAAGACTGGTAAGTTGCAATCTCTGCATGCGATGATATGACAATACTAACGGCGTATAGTTGATGGTGAGGTTGTCGACTTCAAGCCCAAGGGCGCCTCGCCTGCCCCGCCTGTTGTAGCATCCGCTGCACCTGCTGCCCCTCGTTCTCCCGCTATTGCTGCCACTCCCACTCCTCCGCGCGCGCCGAGCGCCACCGACTCTACTCGTGCTGAAGATACCGCTTCCAAGAAGGCCGAGTTTGTCAAGCAGTTCCAGGAGAAGCTCCGCCTACAAGAGGAAGCCGAGAAGAAGGCCAAGGAAGCTACAGAGGAAGAGGCCAAGGCCGAAGCCAATGCAAAGCTTGCTGCTAAGGAAGAGGCCGACGCCAAAGCTGCTCTTGAAGCCAAGGAGAAAGAGGATGCCGAAGCTGCCAAGAAGGCCGAGACTGACGAGGCCGAGAAGAAGCGCCTCGAAGACGAAGAGATGGACCGCATGATTGCCGAGATGGAGGCAGAAGAGAAGAAGCGCGAAGAAGATGAGAAGCGCTACGCCGAGGAGAAGGCAAAGAAGGCCGAGGCTGAGAAGGCCAACGCTGCCGAGAAGGTCAAGCAGGAGGAGGAGCGTCTGCGCAAGCTAGAGCGCGAAGCCGAAGAGGCTGAAGCCGCTCGCGCAGCAGAGACTCCTGAGCAGAAGGCCGAACGCGAGGCTAAGGACAAGGCTCTCTTCGCAAGCCTGAAGAAGAACACCATGTTCGGTCCCGGTGCCTCTCAGACTGAGGAAGAGGCGGCTCCCGCTGAGTCCGCAGCTCCTGTTGCCGCACCTGCACCCTCCAAGACCCCCACTGGCTCCAAGCCCAAGCCAGCTGCTCTCAAGCTCGAGACCAACAAGTCTGTCGAGCCCGCACAGCCGACTGCTGGTATGCAGGCACTCAAGACTGCACGTTTCCTCGAAGTTCGTGCTGAGGTTATGTATCCTCAAGGCGTAGCCAGTCCCAACCCAGCTCTTAACAACAGCAACCGGAGCAAGGGCCGCCAGTACGACAAGGACTTCCTCTTGCAATTCCAGGATGTCTTCAAGGAGAAGCCATCTGTTGACTGGGACATGAAGCTCAAGGAGACAGTTGGTGACGAGCCCCAATCTGCTCGCGGTCCTCCATCTGCTCGTCCCGGTTCTATGCATCTGGGCGCCGGTGGACGTCAAGGCTCTCGCCCTGGCGGTGGCGGTGGAATGGGTACATTTGGGCAAGGCGGTGGATTCCAGCCAGGAGGCCGCACACTCCCGCCAGGTACGACATCCGAACAGCGTTTCCAGCAAGCCCAAGGCGGACGCGGTGGCTCTATGACGAACCCTCTTGCTCATGTCGTTCTAGGTGGAGGTCGTGGTGGATTTCCTATGGGCGGGCAGTCGATGTCAGGACGTCAAAGCTCCTACCAGAGCGCCGACCGCAATCAACCCAATTCTCCTCGCGTTGGCAGCTCACGCGGTAGGGGCGGCCAAAACAGCCACAAGGGTGGCCGCGGCGGCCATGCTCAAGATGCCAAGCAAATGCCATTGACCGCCGGTCAGGAAGTCAAGGCACTCCAACGCTCGCAGACTGGTTGGGTGCCTACGTCGCTCACTCAGCCCGCTGCTGTCCAGGCCCAGATGAGCGCAGGCCACTTGGCTCCCGATATGGTACAGCGTAAGGTCAAGGCCGCTCTCAACAAGATGACACCCGACAAGTTCGACAAGATTTCCGATCAAATCCTTGAGATCGCTGGACAGTCAAAGGATGAGACTGATGGACGCACTCTTCGCCAGGTCATTCAGCTCACCTTTGAGAAGGCTTGTGACGAGTCTCATTGGTCGTCCATGTACGCCAAGTTCTGTAGCCGCATGTTGCAGACCATGAGCACCGAGATCAAGGATGAGAATGTCCGCGACAAGCACGGTGCGCCAGTTGTCGGTGGTGCTCTCTTCCGTAAGTACCTCCTCAACCGCTGTCAAGAGGAGTTCGAGCGTGGTTGGGAAGTCAACCTGCCCGAGGCGCCTGAAGGCGAAAAGGAGGCGAAGCTTCTGTCAGACGAGTACTACGTTGCCGCTGCAGCCAAGCGTAAGGGTCTCGGTCTGATCCAGTTCATCGGAGAGCTATACAAGCTGGGCATGTTGACTCTGCGCATCATGCACGAGTGTGTGCTTAAGCTTCTCGACTTTGAGGGTCTCCCCGATGAGGCCGCTATTGAGAGCTTGGTCAAGCTGCTACGCACTGTGGGTGCCACGATGGAGTCCGCCGAAGCCGGCCCCAAGATGATCAACATGTACTTCGAGCGCATCGAGAAGGTCATGAACATGGAGGGTCTTCCTTCGCGTATGCACTTCATGTTGCTTGACACCGTCGACATGCGCAAGTCCGGCTGGAAGTCCAAGGACATCCTCAAGGGTCCCAAGACCATCGCCGAGATTCATCAAGAAGCCATGGCAGCCCAACAGGCCGCCGAGATGGAGCGCACACGTTCAAACCAACGCGGTGGTGGTGGCCGTCTTCCCATGGGTCGCGGCGACGCTCGCTCGTTCTCAGGTGGTGGCATGCAGCCTCCTCCAGACACTGGCAGCCGTGTCCAAATGGACGATCTCCGCAAGCTGTCCAAGGGTGCTTCTGGACGCAACCTCAACAACGCTGGATCTCTCGGCCCGTCCATGCTTGGTAACCGCGCCGGTAGCCGCCGTGGTATGGGTATCGGTCCCGGCATGGGTAGTCGTGAAGACTCCAACGCCTCTTCGCGCAATGGCACACCACCAGTGCAGAAGGAGAAGGAGGCCACTGCTCATGCAAACGCTTTCAGGTAAGATCCGTGCTGTTTTTACTCGAGATCTTTACTAACATATGTCACAGTGCACTTGCTGCTCTTAGCAATGAAGACGCCGGCGAGGCTGGCTCTACATCCAACGCTGCTGATGAGTCTGCTGCCGACGCGGAGGCCAAGCCTTCCGAGTGATTACCTTTCCTTTCGAGCGCGTGACGGTTATACCCATAGACCACACCGCACGCGGTAATCTAATCGCCTGTTTCGTTGCATAGAAGGGGGCATCAGCGCGCGCATTGTTCTGCATTTCGCGGGGTTTCATTACTGCGACTTTCAAGAGCGATGGATTCCAAAAGTTTCCTTGTTGTCTGACGGCCGGTCTCACGAAATGGGTTTGGGTGTTCAAACCATTGGTTGGTACAAGCCTCGATGACTCTTTTTATGCGCATGCTTCATGACGGCGTTCCGGATCTGAAGATGGGGATGGTCTACACCACACGCTTTTCACGAGCGCTCTGGGTGGGCATTTTGGCCAAGTTTTCCTCAGTCCTCCATCTTTTCTTTGCGCTGCGATTTCCTTGGGGTAGGGAGGACCAAGAGGTAGAAGGAGTACCGCGTCTTCCTGTGGAGGTCTCTCCAATCCCGCTCCCCCTTTATGCGCATGTTATCCTCCTTTCCTTCTTTTTGCCTCTTACAGAGAGTGGTGGCTTGGTGATGCGGTGTCCGCCGACGATAGCAAACTTGCTTAGGCATGCACTTGCGAAAAAGATCCTGCGTACACGAGAGCAAGATCTACGAGGAGATGACTCTTTGTGCAATAGCTTGATCTAGTTCGAATAAACTGGTAAAAAATTATGACTCTGCTTCTGTCTGTGATACTGTCTGTGATGCGCCTGGGCCAAGGGAAGTCTGCGTCCGGCCCTGGAACCGTTGAACGCACGTTCCCCTCCAATGATGTGATGTGATGTAAACGTCGATCTTACTGCGGGACGTTTGCATACGGCCGGAGCGTTGCGCGTCTTTGCGCAACTTCCAGGTGAGGGGCAGCGCGCAGGGATGCAGGTGAGAATGGTGCAGCTGGCTACGTCATAAGGACAGAGTGGTCAACCACATATCAGAACACCAGGCTGGCCGAAGTAAGCACATTACACCCCACTCTCGACACTTCCTATACCGAAACTTCAGACATCTTCACATCAGGCTCTATATCCCAACCCGAATCACAGCACGAGTCTACCACACAAAGCAATCATGTCCGACCAGAACAACCAACAAAAGGGCTTCTTCGGCACCGCTGCCAGCGGTCTCGGTACGTTCCATCTCTCTTCTCGCTCTCCAAGCATCACGACAACGTATAGATCAGAGTCTTTGCTAACAGTCCAGGAAACACTTTAGGCGCCGCAACAAACACTGTCGGCAAGGGCGTCCAGGGCGTCACGGACGCGACTGGCAATGTTGTCGCGGCTGGTGGAAAGGGACTCGGTGATGCTGTTACGGGCATTACCCAGGGCGCTGGTGATACTACTAAAGGTGAGTGATGACGCAGCGGATAAGGAAAGGGTGATGAAGCTGGTGCTAATGTGTTGTGATAGCGGCGGGCAACTTCGTTGGCGATACCACCAAGGCTGGCGGCAGAAGCGTGGGTATGGAGCAGAAGGATAATCAGACTGGTGGACAGTAGAGGGGTCAGAATGCTTCATGGTAATGGAAATATTGATTGGCATGAAGGAGGAGAAGGCCAACAAGCATTGTTGCGGCCAGTACCATGCCAATGAACAATGAAATCATATGAGCAAGACGAGTGAATCTACTTGGAATCGTGATGCGCCAGTGCATGCGGACCCTTTTGGGCGTACCAAGAGTCATGCATCATAAGACTGATCACCGCACTAGCTTGAGCGCTGCGTGCGTCGAGACATATAAATATCGCCCTCCAGCTTTTCCAACCTTTCCTTCTATCATCCACTACTTCCAATTTTACTTTCTCCAAAAAAGCAACCGAGGGTCGCCATGAGTGGTTGTCGGAACCAACCTCCAAAAGCTCAACCTGGCTCTTCTATGGAGTTTCTGCCTGAACCATAAAATTTGGCTTTCATGTCGCATGTTGTTTCCTGCCAACCACACTCCTATTGAGCTATTCCTAAAACAATACGTTGGCCAAACATATTCATTGCGTCGTGTGAGCAAAAAGACCATATGGACACTTGACGTGGAAGTCCTTAGTGACCGACTGCCAATATTGTCCAAAAGCCCCCATACACGAATTCATGAATTCTTCTCTGCAGCTTCAAAACCTGCAAGCTTCTCGATGCATATTAGTATATATGTACCTTCAATTCAGACCAAAGCGAAGTACGACAACCACATGAGGCGCACTTACTGCCCCGACGGCTTCACATCGCATCCTGGAACCGTGCGCTGGCTGTATAAATATCTCTCTCTCTTCTGCTCGCTCTTGCTCTCAACATCCACAGCCTTTTGGCTCTTTCCAAAACGACGGAAAGGCGCATCATGAAGTCCTGTCTCCTCCGTCGTCCGAAAAAGCAACGTTGAAATGCTTATGTGCTCGCCTGGCGCCTTCTCTCCCAGAACGGTGGACCTACATCGGCCATGGAATTTCGAGTCTTCCAAAATTCATCTTACATCGTTCCATGAAAAAGTTAAGTTTCTCTTCCTACGGAACTAGGAAGGCTCCTTGTACCCGCGATGTGCTCACACTGTGCTTCCAAACGAGCCACCGTCGGGTTCTCCGAAAACATCCTCCAAGAGTTTGCATGCGCTCTGAGAGATTCTTTCCCGCTGGTATCATTCCAAAACATTGCGAAGTCCATGACATGTTCTCTCCTCCTTTGGCTAAACATACACGACACTGCAAACTCATGTTGTTTTCGCGTGTCTCAGTGCTGGAGAGACTTATGCAATGGCCCTAGCGCACGGAGCTGCTTGTATATAAAGCACCTTTTCTTCGACTGTTCTCTTTCATCTTCTATCTATTCCAAACTACATTCAGTTCAAAAGTTCGCAGGTGTCTATGATGGCCGCGGCCTTTCGGGATTTTCTAAAAACGCTAAGAACAAGACAATGTGTGTGCTTTGTTGGATTGAAGCGGCTTATAAAGCATCTTATGCTTCTCGCTGTCTTCGAGATCTGGCTTTATGTTGCTGCTAAGTAACTGTCTTCTAAAATGTCCAACTAACTAAGCTATGTGGTGAGGAGTCGACACCAAAAACTGTACAAATGAAAAGGCAATGTGGGCATCGACTTGGATGCTCATCTACACAAAATGTTTTATTCACGTCTTATGAGACAGCCATTTGCAGTCGCTCGCATATATGTAGGACGGCTTGGCTGATAACCTTCCAAAAAGCAACACTTAGAGCTTATGTCCGCTCTTCGATCTAGCGATAAGAATACTATTGTGACTCCACCTTTTACGTATAAACCCACGCCCTCACTTCATTGTTTAGACAGTAAAATACTATGCTTGTCACCAAAAACGAAATCCCCTCAGGTACATGGAGTTGGCTGGGCTGCGGCTTTCCTGTTCAAGCAAAGCATATGAAAAGGAACTTCATGTCTCCTTCTTTACAGGCTTTTGGATATCTGCATGAGAAATCGGTCGCATCGGGATAGTGATGGACGCCACTAAGAAGCCTGTTCCGAAATTCTGGACATGTAGTGACATGATCGTCGTCTTACTACTCGAGAATAATGACGAGATATATACCTTTGCGTATGCACTCATCTTGGTCGAAGGGCTTGTAGTATCTGGCCATGAGAGACTGAACGGGAAAACCTTCATTGTCAAAACCAACCAGATCGCACCTTACGCCTCGTTAGCACGTGCGAAGCTTGCGCAGATTACCGTACGTCAGATCTTCGGGGATACATGAGATGATTGACGGCTTTTAAAACGATTGATTGAAACATATGTCCTTGAGCAGCGTGAATTGGTAGCTTATGGCCTCGCCAGACATTGAGAAGAAGTTATTTGAAACGGTCATGACCGCCACGGTCGAGCTGGTGCTGTGACGAGACGAGGAAGACTCCGCATTCATATTTCTGATGGTAACGAGAGACATGATATATGAACAATATAATACAGTCATGAACCTGCCGTACTTGCTCCCCTCACGCGACCCTCAGACAGTCAAGTAGCCACTCCTACGAGGAACTAATCGCGACTAATCTCCACATGCCGACTAACAACAATGCTGTCCTTGTTGTTATTCACAAACCGATCGTTCTTCTCCAAAATCTCCTTCTGACTCTCGCTATCGCTCGATACACTGACACGTCCCGCATGAACCTTGATTGCCGGCATGTGCGTGTCCTGGTTGTCTGCGACCGTGCCGAGCTCGAGTTCGGTGTCAAAAGGCTTGTAGCGGTGCGACCGGTCGGGGTTGCTGACACCGTGGGGTGTACCCGAGCGAGGCTGGTGAGAGCCGCTTGAGCCGAGGTGGAGGAGGCGCTGGAAGAGTGGGCGGAGGGTTGCGATGTTGCCGACGAGCATACCGAGCGCGGGTTCGGCGTAGCCCCAGATGAGGATGTTGGCGAGGCCATCTGGGAGTCACGTTAGTGTTGTGATGTGATGCGGGTCTGGGGTGCTTACAAAGATAGTCGTGACTGCTTGTCAGGCCAACGGTGTACTTCAGACGAACCAGGCCCGAGATGGATGTGCTGGAGCAATGTTAGTGGTGTACAAAAACCAGTCAGATTCATGGGTTGCCATACAAGATACCTAGGCTCAAGATGCCACCGACTGAGATCTTGGTGTTCCTGTTCATCTGAACGTTCCAGAGCAGAGCGATTGGCCTGGTCAACGTTAGTGCCTACTCGATAGCAGAATCTCGAGTAACTCACATGAGCGCAGTAGCCCAGTCTGTGAAGATGTTGACCGAAGTGCAGAAGAAGTAGACGTTTTGCAGATACACTGGCGGCTGGCAGTAAGTCCCTTCGGCCATGAGATCAGCCCTCCAAGCAGCCCTGAGAAGTATACGGTTAGCATTACCACGTGATGCCGGATTGCTTTGTACTTACTCCACCGGCCAACACTGGAAGATGATGTACAGGATCGCTGCCAAATTGGTCGCCGCGCAGAGACCCATGATGCCGTAGTTGATGTAGATGTAGACCATTCTCCTGCCAGCTATCCGGTTCAGCATGAAGGCGATGCTCAGCTTGACGAAGATGATGGATGTGCAGTAGAAGACCTCATAGAGGAAGAACCACTGAATATTGTTAGCGACCGACCAATTCCATGCTACACTGGATGATGACTCACGAAATATGCTGTCTCGACGTATTTCTGGTTGCCAGGCTTAGCAAAAGTACTGTCTTTGGCGCCGATGCCGTAATAGGAGCCGATGGTAGTGACGATGGTCAGTGTCATGAGAGGCAACTGTGGTGAGTAAGCTCGTCTGTTCTCGACGACTGTGAAGGTTAGATACATACGCATCCTACTGCCATAACCCAGTCCTCAAGAGCCCAGTTATGCTTGGTGATCCTGACATACACCCGCATACCCATGGTGATGAAGGCAAGCAGCCCCGTCACAAGGACGGTCGCCGTGAGGTTGGGGCCTAGATCCTGCATCAGAGTCAGCGCCACTCAAGGCGTCCTGTTTGGTTCAGCTTACCTCATGAAGTGTCATTGTGAATTACTTTGTGAGTTGTGGTTGCCGTTCAGTACGTATTCGTTGGGTTGAGCTACAGCTGGTGCTCTCGAACAACTTGCGGAGTTGAATGGGGCAGAGTGGGGAGAGGTTTGACATTCTCGGGCTGTTGAAGTATACAAACAATGCTGCAGAGACCAAGGTTCCAAGAGAATGGATGCAACGCTTTGCATTCACAGCCTGGTATAAGATCGCCAAAGAATTTCCCGCGACCCCTTCACCCGCATGGGTGTGCATTCGGTCGATCAGGGCGCCGAGAAGACAACATGCAGAGTGGGTTCCGCTATCACGACATGTCTTACTGCCCCTGATGCCGCCATCACGATCTATCGTTTTCGGGTACCCGCATTCCTGTTAACGTCGTCACACCTCGGTATTCCGATGTGTGCGTCCTCGCTTCCGACATGTCAGATCCCCAGAGTTTGGACAAACATTGCGTGGGCATGTGAGTATCTCTGGTCAAGCTTGTCGGATCGAAATCACGAGTCGCTAGACGAATGAGTACGTGCCGATAGCGATGTCGATACGATTCGGACCGGATTGAGGAAATTGGGGGTTCTGCATCGATCTCAGGTGAATGTCAAAAACAGGGTCTGCAATCCTACGCTAGTCCCTAAGCGGATACGATCATCGCCTTCGTTCGCTCAAACATTCCCAACGGGCTTCGCTTGGGACGTTCCGCAACCTTAACACCTCACTGCCGACGCCCCGGTGTCAACATGCCAACGCTTTTATTACATGGTTTGCTATGGCCAAGTCGTGCTTCATGGGTGGGGACACGACGAGGCGATTATCGCAGCCCGAATGCGGGGCCTCTGGCCCCAGAGCCTCGCATAAGTTAACACAGTGGACTGTGGTACTTCT